GAACAAAATAGTTAAAAAACAAACTCTATGTACAGTCGAGTTGAGAATGAAAGAAAACACAGATTATCTTTTAAAGAAAAATAGTTAAAGAAAGAAGGAATAGAGAGAGAGAGATAAAAAGGAATTAAGAGAAGTGATGTTTGTCCAAGTCTCGTGTTCCTTCTGTGCTGATGTATATAAACAATATCATCAATGCTAAATGGTAGATATTAGTTTGTTTGTTTTTTGGAACTTTTTATAAAACTCGGAAGAATGTGTATTCTGAGAAAATCAAGAAAGTAAATACAATTCCTATGCTTTACTAGTTTGTTTTTTGGAGTTTTCTAGAAAATTCGGAAAAATGGAAGTGTATTCTGAGAAAATCAGGAAAGAAAATACAATTCCTATGTTTTGCTTGTTCGGATTTTTGGAGTTTTCTAGAAAATTCGGAAAAATAGAAGTGTATTCTGAGAAAATTAAGAAAGAAAAAGGAATTCCTATTTATTACTAGTTTGTTTTAGGGAAATTTCTAGAAAAAATCGGAAAAATAGAAGTGTATTCTGAGAAAATCAAGAAAAAAAATAGAATTCCTATGTTTTACTAGTTTATTTTCTGGAATTTTCTATGAACTATGGAAGAATGAAGAAGTGTATTTCTGAAAAAAATCAGGAAAGGAAATGAATCCAATGGAATTCCTCTGTATTACGCAAGACATTCTTCCAATAGAAAACGAAGGAGAGAAAGTTTTCAGAACTATTACTTGAAAACATTTGACTCTGAAATGCATCTTGGATCACTCTTCTTCGGGTTATTGCCAACTGGAAATGAACGATATGTCTGAGAAAGCATGTAGTGTAGATATTTATTTAATTAGATTCTCAGAATACGATTTATTACCATTTTCTTTAGATTTTTTTGTTTACGTTTGGATGCCTGTATATATTCCAGTTTTCTTTGAAGTGGGAAAGACTATGAGGGTAAACTTATCTAAACTGAAATCACTCATCTTTGGGTCGCCTTTGATAAGCCTTTAATGCTTTAGAAATAATGTGCTATTGTTTAGAAAAAATCCTTTAAAAGTATAGAAAAGAAAAAAGAAATATATGAGATGAGAAGAATTTTTTCAACTAAGGAAATAAAAAGATATAGAAAGCATAAAAGCTTTAGTTTTTGAGGAAAAAGAAGGAAAGAAAAAATATACACGGGATACAAAGTGAGTATTAAGAATCTTTTAAAAAACTGTAAAGGGAAAAAAACATAAGAAAAAAAAAGAAAAAAGAACATAAAATGCTATACCGTAAAGGAAGATTATATTATATATATATATTATATTATATATATATATATATTATATATATATATATATATATTATATATACACACACACACACACACACACACACACACACACACACACACCACACACACACACACACACACACACACACACACCACACCACACCACACACACACAATAACCAAAAGCTGAAAAGACACAGTTGATTTTAACGACATTCCAGTGAAATCGCCTTCGTTGTACAAGCGGCCGACCCGAAGCCAACAAATTCCAGGCCAAACCTCCTTTTTCCGATGGCGCTGTTAGCAAACTCCATTTATTTTTACTGTTGTTCCATCGCAGTTGCTCAACTTGCATCAGTGGGTTGATAAGGCTTGACTCGAGAGGGAAAAAATTAATTTGATTCAATTTTGGTTTTTCTCTTTTTCTTTTTTCTTTTCTTTCTTCTTTTTTTTTACTTGTTTGAAATTTATTTACGAGGAAGAAATGATGTTTTTTTATATGTTTTAGTTATTCAACTTATTTATTATTTTTGTCCTCTCTTTAAACCGCTTTTTTATCTTTGATTTGTTATTTTTCATAATCATCTTTACACAGATCAAATAATATCATTTATGCTATTTATTAATTTTGTATCCTTGAATTAAAGGCGAAATAAGGCCTAAGAGGAGCGTATTATCATAAACCCTTAATTAAAATCTATTTAGAGATTTGGAAAAACTTAAGACGAACTTTATCTAAACTTATCTCTCTTTTTTGTAAAATCATTGGAGCTGAGGAACATTTTTATTTGTTATTTATTTTTTTTTTTTATCTGTCTATTTATGAATCTATTGATCTGCATTGTTCTTTCTTTCCCTTTCTCCCACTCACTCTCTCTATCTATCTATCTATCTTATCTATCCTCTATCTCTCTATCTACCTCTCTCTCTCTCTCTCTCCCTCTCTCTCTTCTCTCTCTCTCTCTCTCTCTCTCTCTCTCTCTCTCTCTCCTCTCTCTCTCTCTCCTCTCCTCTCTCTCTCTCTCTCTCTCTCTCTCTCTCTCTCCTCTCTCCCTACCTCCTTTCTCTTCCTCTCTTCTCTCTTTTTTAATATTTTATACATTTCACCCATATGCAGCCTGTGTTCTATTATTTATTAATAATTTGCATATAATTACCAAGAATCATCTATGAATCAAAGAATAAAAAACGCTGAAAAAGAAAGAAAAGAAAATGAATTGCGGGCCATTTTTTCCCTTGTTATCAGTAACAATACTATTATTTAGTTTCGAAGAAAAAAAATATTAATAGTGTATGAAAAAATGACGATGTGAGACGATAGTGAAAAAAATGAAAGTGGAAAATTAAGACAATATATATAAAAACGTGGACCCGACCTAACATTAGATAAACCGAGTGTATGTTATGAGACAATCAAATGTGCATATAACAAAATGTACTGTTGTAAATGTCTTTGTGGTGTGAGTGATCTCGACCGCCTCTATGAATATCATACGTAAAAGTTGCCTTAANCTACTTAATCTCCATCGCCCGTCCCCTTCTCCGGTACTTTTCCCTCTCCCTCCACCTCCTCCCTCTCCCTCCCTTTGCTTCTATCTCCCTCCTTACCCTCTCCTTCGTTTCTTCTCTTCCCTCATGCACATACCTCTCCCTTTCCCTCCTTCCTTCTCCTTCTCTCCTCCTCTCTCTCCTCTCTCTTCTCTCGCTGCTCTTCTCCTCTCTCTTCCCCTCCTTCCCCTTCTCTCTCTTTCCTCATTTCCTCCCTCCTTTTCCTTCTCTCCTCTCCCTCTCTTCCCTCCTCCTCCTCCTCTCTCTCCCTCTTTCTCCCTCCTCCTCCTCTCTCTCCCTCTTTTCTTTCCTCCTCCTCTTTCTCTCTCTCCCTCTTCTCCTTCTCTCTCCCTCTTTCTCCTTCTCCTTCTCCTCTCTCCTCTTTCTCCCTCCTCCTCTCTCTCTCCCTCTCCTCTCTCTCCTTCTCCTTCTCTTCTCTCTCCTCTTTTTCCCCTCCTCTCTATCTCTCCCTAACCCCCTCCTCCTTCTTTCCATCTCAAATCCCAGGATGATCTCAACAACTTGACCTCAACCTCACCCTCGACCTGGACCTCGACCTCGAACCTCACACTCTCTTGACCCTCGGTAGTCACTCAAGGATGACCTGCCATTGTGTGCGAGGTCAAGCGGTTGTTGTTGTTGTTTATGTGGTCTTTAAGGTGGGAGAGGGAAATGAGGGGAGACGGGGGGAGGGAGGGGAGGGGAGAGAGGGAGAGGGAGAGGAAAAAGGAGAGACGAATGGTGGAAGGAGGACAGGATAGGAGAAGGAGAAGGGGAAGGAATAGGAGTACGGAATGTAGAAGGAGAGAAAGACGCGGAAAAAGATGATAAGAAGAGGAGAAGAGGAGAGAAGAAGAAAGACAGAGAAAGAGAAAGAAAGAAAGAAAGAGATCACAAAAGGATAAAAAAAAAAACAAGTGAAAAAATAAAAACGTAGATAACCGAGACGATCTTGGCCGTTTAAACAACCAAGACTTCTAAGACGAGGGAAAGGAGGGGAGGGGGGAGGGGAGGGGGGGAGCGGTGGATGAGGCGTATCAACATTTCATCTCTGTTTATTTGGGTGTTATCTTGTGCGCCATTTTTTTCTTTCTTTCTTTTCCCTCTTCTTCTTCTTCTTCTTCTTCTTCGGATTTTCTTGTTTATTTTCTCTCTGTCTGTGGGTTTCTTTTTCTTTTCTTTTTGTCTTCTATTTCATTTGATTTTATATTCCTTTTCCTTTCTTTTGTGTTTTTTTCTTCTCTTCCCTTTTCTCTTTCTTCTCTCTTTCTTTTCTTCTTTATTTCTTTTCTCTTTCCTTCTGTCTTTCTTTTCTTTTCTCTTCACTTCTCGTTTCTCTTTCTTCCCCTTCTTGTCTTCTTGTCTCTGTCTCTCTCTCTCTCTCTCTCTCTTCTCTCTCTCTCTCTCTCTCTCTCTCTCTCTCTCTCTCTCTCTCTCTCTCTCTCTCTCTCTCTCTCTCTCTCCTTCCCTCTCTCCCTCTCCCTCTCCTCCCTTCCCTTCCTCCTCTCCTTCCCCTCTCCCCTTCCCTCTCCCCCTCCTCCTCTCTTCCTCTCCCTCTCCCCTCTCGGCCCATCTCTCCCTTCCTCTCCCCCCTCCTCTCTCTCTCTCTTCCCTCCTCCTACTCCCTCTCCCTCCCTTCCCTCCCTCCCTCTCCCCTCCCTCTTCGAAATCGTCATCTGCCCGTGTTGCCGTGACTCTGAAACCACAAAGGAGATCTCGTACTTGCC